CCCCCCCGCACTTGGCACTGTCAAACCAGGTCTGGTCTCAGAGCACAGTACGGAGAAACGAGCCCCTCGGGGAAGGTGACAGAAGAGGCCTGGGAAGACGAGTGACTGAAGTTAGCAGGCACCTTCCTTCGAGAGCCTGGCGCTGAACTCCGCAAGCACAGGGCGTCGGGGAGCTGCTCAGAGAAGTCATGGTGACACGGGGTCACATTACTACAGACAAGGACGGGCATTCCAGATGAGGAAACACGGAGAAGAGGTGATCAAGGAGAGGAGACGGGAAAGGTACTGGAGCCAGGAGAATCACAATGTAAAAGAACATTTAATCGCCGCTTATGTGTCTGACTCGTCTAAGGTCTTGGTGAGCCCGATGTTTAGGACTAAAAGTACGTAAGTTGATGAGAAACATGACACCACTGTTCTCAAGTTGACTCTGGCTCAGACCCCTGACAGGATGGGGCAGAACTGCTCCATGGGGGGGGGGGAGAGTGCCAATCAGATGGCCACATTTTCTCCCTCACCGCAGCTGGTGGGTTTCATCGCGACCTTGTAGGTTGGCAGTCCAACGCAGAACCTGCTGTACCACCAGGGCTCTTTACGAAATGCTGAAAGACCACTTAATCCCAAGAGTAAGCACGTGATAGCTACTGCACTTGAATGGTGGTGCTACAGCAGCATGCTGAAAGGACAGGCCGATCTGTGTTGGAAGAATGAAGGCCACAGACTCCTCAGAGGCAGGATGACACAGCTCTGTCTCACACGCTCTGGGCACATCATCCTGAGAGCGCAGTCCCTAGGGAAGGACATCGTGTTTGGTAAAGTGGAGGGACAGCGCGAGAGGCAGGCCTCGATGAGTTGGTGGGACACCGTGGCTGCAGCAATGGGCGCAGGCAGAGGAACCGTGGTGTCCTTCTGTTGGGCATGGGGATGGGTTCGAGCTGACTGCAGGGTGCCTGACGTCAACAGCTACAGTATGTGAAGACTGCCTACAGAAGCAAGTCACGTACAGCTACAGTGCAACTGTCTCCCTTTACGGAATCCCTTCTTTTTTTTAAAAAAAGGGCACTGGGAAGAGGCAAGGGTAAAACTGTCGGCCACAGGACAAAGCACATTCATTCATTAACCCGCAAGGATATTGCAAGTTTGCTTTAATACACAAGAAATGCTTGAATAAATGAACATCCAATTTCTGAGAGGACAGCTAACTTATAACAGAATTATCTGAAAGGGACTCGGACGTGCCTGGAGCTAGGAGCTCTTCTCCTACCCCGGACGCAGATGAAGTCCTACCCTCAGGACAAACTCCACAGACATGTCTCTGAGAGCCGACTGTTCTGAAGCAGTAAGCCCCATTTTTAAAAGTTACAATAATCTTTGAAGTACAGAGATACACAAAGTTGAAAGTATTATGACTGTCGCACTAAGAAGAAGAAGAAAAGTTTGTTTTTCTGTAAAATGAAGAGAATCGTGCTGAATGTATTGGGATGATAGAGTAAGATCATGTATACCAGTTGCCCAAGCAATGTCTTTAGTCAATGAACTACTGACACCATTCACGAGAATCTTGTTCTGAAAATGTGGCTGTAAACGTGCTTACCTGGGCTATGAAACTGACAGCATCACAGTACTACATTAAAACAATGCCACTTGGCTGGGGGATCAGACCCTGCTCACTGACAGTCAGATGGGATCTTCAATGTGATTGGGAAAGAGAGTCTGCAAAGCACTTAGCTCCCGTGGAAAGAACAGTCCTGTGGTCCTACTATGGCATTTGTGTTCCCTGACACGATACAGAAGCCCCGAGACCGGGCACATGTCACGAGTAAGGCTTTAACGTGTTAAAGCTACAACAATGGGATTCAGACCTTCAGAAGGGACTCCCCCCAGGGTCTAGGCTGCCCTGCAATCGGTTGTGTGATGGAGAGCTAAGTGGCGTCATGATTTTGTGTGCCCATTTTCCAACTGGTAAAAAAGCAACCAGGAGGGTAGGATAGACAAAGTATCCTGTCAGGTCCCATCTACTTTTAACACACAAGTCCAGGAGCCAAGAACATCAACAAGCTGCTTTTGGGGTGGTCTCCCCGATGAGCCCTGGTGCCACTCGGGTAGAGCTCAGCTGCTACCTTCAAAGGTCAGAGGTTTGAACCCGCCAGCCACTCCATGGGAAACTGCAGGCAGGGAAGCCCCAAGTGGGCGAATTCTGTCCTGTAGGATGGCAGGCTAGGCGTGGCAATCAACGAGATAGTAACAGGCCTGGTTTTCCTCCGCAGACCACTAAATGGCAGTCCACCGGTCCACCCCAGGGACCGTGGACCTCAACCCTCACCTGCTTCTGTCGGTCCAGTTCCGCCTCCAGTTCTTGTTTCGCAGCTTTCTGCTGAGCAATTTGGTCTTGGAGGTCTTGTAACTGCTCCCTGGCCGATTCTGCTTCATTCGCCTGCTGAGCTTCCATCTCCTGGGAAGAGGGCCACGATGAGGGGCAGGACCCACAGCTCAGAGCAGCAGCCAGTGGGTAGCCAGTGCTGCCACGAACCAGCCTGTGGCAGCGCTGGAGTTGGCACCCCACTGCAGGACCAGGGAGGGGACAGACAGCGCCTACGGCTGCCACAGCCTGCCATCCATTGGGCTCAATGAGCAGTGGGGTCAGACCGTGCTCGGGAGGTTTCCGCCAGAGACACAAACAAGGCCCCTGACCCTGGCAGTGGGTCCCGTGGAATTGGTGGCCAGTGAAAGCCTCTCCTCCCACACGGTCTGAGGGCAGACACTGCTGATCATGGTGACCCATGTTCACATCTCCCCATAATTCTCCCTCCTCCACTTCAGGGTCACTACTCTCACCTCTTAAACTCAAGGAACACCTTCAGGATTTCCTGCAAAATCCTCAAGCAGGGGCGAAGAGCCTGCTGGTGGCTTCTAAGGTTTCTGCCCACCTGGCACATGGCTGAGAGCAGGACCCTGGCACTGCCTGCTGAACGAACCAACCCAGTGGCCTAGCTTTCCTGTTCCATCAACTCTCCAGTCACTCCCGGGCCAGAACTCTACCACGGGGAGGGGGGGTTCACCTCTATCCGGTGACTAAGCGTCCACAGGGTCTCAGCACGCCTCCACCCTAGGTCTGGCCAGCCCTGTGAAGGGAGCCATGAGGCTGCATACCTGCATCTCGGAGCGCAGCTGGTGCAGCTGGCCCAGCAGCGACTGGATCTCCCCGCGCTGCAGCTCCTTCTCGTGCCGCAGCTCCTCGAGCTCCACGCTGTGGGCAGCACTGCCGTCCAGGCCTTCGAGCCCAGAGCCTTCCTTCAGGCTGCTGATCAGTTTCTCCTTGGACTGGGGCCGAGGGAGCGAGGGAGAAAGGGACAGGCGAGATCAGCCCACTCACCACGTGGCGCAGAAAGGACAGAACTATGCTAACAGTCCCATGGTACCTCCTGCAGCAACCTAGAAAGAAAACCCCGAGCTCTGAGAACCCACGAGGCTCAAAGTGCTGTGGAGCCTAGCTACGCAGGGTCCTGGGCCGCTAGCCCTGCCCTCAGGACCCCAGCAGAGCAGAAAACTTGTCAGACAAGACTTTGTTCACACTTTCCTCTAGTTTTAAAGTCACGTGCCGCCTCACCTCCGGAGCGCTGTGCTGACCTCCGCCTCACAACCTGGGAGTTGCACGCGAGTACCCGGTGAACACGGTGGTCTGGGACTGGGAGTGACACGCGAGTACCCGGTGGACACGGTGGTCTGGGACTGGGAGTGGCACGCGAGTACCCGGTGGACACGGTGGTCTGGGACTGGGAGTG